CACACAGAAACAATGTAATTTTAGTCTCACCAGAATAAAGGAAAACAGAGCTGTAAAAAACATTTCCTTATCAACACAGGGAAAAATATTCCTGTACTTCTGACAAGAAAGGATTTCCTAATTCCATAGCACTTCCCTGACTGACCCCTTCCAGCACTTAACTACACTCACGCTGGCAAAGTTTATCCAAACATCAACCCCACATGTCTCTTCCTGAAAAGAAATAGTAAAACTTGCTTTGAAGTCATAGGGCCACAGTTTCGCAGGTGGAAACAATATAAAATTATCTTCACATTGCTCCCCTGTTTCTGTTTCACCAATTCTTATGTGTGCAAACAGTGTAACTATTACTTATTTTTCTGTAAAGAAAGGCTTAGTATACCCTAATTAGGAAAACCAAGTTAACTGTCAACCTAATAAATAAATCTGTGTTCAGCAAAAAAGGTAGACTTAGGATTCCCCCAAATTTTGTTGTTTTTATGAAAAATTTACAAACTGTAGCTGAACAACTGCATCTACTTTATTTAGTTTAAGAATCCCCTCTTTGTACTCTTAAACTTCAGTGAAACTTTTCTTAATTGGCAGTAGCCAGATTCATAAATGTGGGCATACAGTTTTGAGTCAATATATATGGCATTGCTGAATAAATATTTAGAGGAACAGAGCAGTCACAACACTCAGGGGTTTTCATAATATAAGGTACAAAGTACAAACAAGTATTAGCACTTTAAAAATGTTTAAAGGGCTGTGGATCCTAACATTGTTCATCATTTTCTACTGCATTAGGTAAATTTCTTGTACGGTCATGAGGCAAGTATTTCTCTACTCTAGTTGTAGTATGCTAGGGTTTTTTTTCAACACCTTCAGGAATTTATTTTTCAGTAGACAAAGGGAACAGTTAGCAAACAGTTAAAGTCATGCTTATATTAAAGACTTTAAATGCATATGAAATAATGTAGGAAACTATTATTATTATAAAATATAAGATGTGATGTATGCCAACACAAGTCTGTAAGTAATCGTGCAACTCGTTGACTTTTGCATGCTCATAGAGCTCCTAAATACAAAATATATCTAGCAGAAAAAGCTCCTGCTTGTCTTTATAGAATATTATATGAGTATAAAAGCAAAATAAGGATTTGAAAGTGCTAGAGGAATATTACTGTAACTTGGTATAGATATAATGAACAGTGATATTTTTGTTGGTTTAGTTACATTATTCTCAGATCATTTTAGGCAATCCCGGGAAGAGTAACAAAACTGCAGAGACAGTCTTCATACAGTGTGGCTTAACTTGAGTTATTCATGTATACCCCTAAGAGAGGGTAAAAAAATCAGACCCTTACCCTCTTGCAATTCTGCTTCTCAGAGATTTTTGGTGTAAGTGCAAAACTCACCACTGCTGTCAAGGTGAAGGCCACCTGGGTCCTCCGTCTGTCACCTGTCACATTTGTTGAACATGAAAAGAGCATGGTCCAGACATTCCAGCAGGATGAGGTGGGAGATGAAGAAACTTGCCAAGAAAAGCCAGCTCGCAGTGGAAAGTACCTCCCTGGTGAGGGGGAACAGAAAGGGGAAAACAAACCTCAGAATTTCTAATATTTATTGTGTGTGGTTGAACAACATTTTGAAAGTTCAATAAAGAAGACAAGAATGCAAATTATTCTGTGCTATTCAGAGAGACAACCCAGCAGGATTTTCAGAGCAGGAAGCATAAATGTATTTCCTCTTTCTTTTTCATTTCAGACCTAGAATAAATAAAACCTACAGCTGAGAAAAAAAATGTTACTTCTTCACAATGCAAACAGACAACACAATCTGCAAGGCAAAGACCGCTTTTTGTACTGTTACAGTGCTTAGCACATTGCTTCTCAGTTTGTGGTACTACAAATACCTCCTCATCCTAAAAATTCACCCAAATGCTGGGGCATTGAGATGAAACCCAAACCAGCTGCACTGCATAGCGCCGAAGGGTCACCTAACCTAGTGTCTTGTATCAAACAGCGTTCCGTGGTGTATGACAGAGGATTTTGGACTGTCACCAGGCATCCAGGAGCACTTCCCTGGTTACAAACTCCCTTAATTTCTAGTGATCAGTCTTTAGTGAGTTTTTGATCCAGATGTGTTACTTCTGCATTTTATGCCTCCATGGGCTTTGCTTCTATTAATGTCTCAGTCACTTTTTACACCCATGTAAGCTATATGGCCAGTTTTACAATTTAAGCATACCATGTGTGAAAAAATGCTGCTCTTTTTCTCATTTTGGACTGGCTACCTCCCTACTACTTCTTCTATCAGAAGACACATCTTTTCCACAGCGCTTCTGCATTTACAGATCCCTTGTACATCCTTACCGAGCCGCCTCTTTCCCAGCCAGACGAGTCCCAGACACTTCAGCTGCTTCTCAGGTGTGTTGTCATTACACAGCTTTGACTACTTTGATCCTCCTATTTGAGCCATTCCTAGTTTTGCTACATTTTTGCAGCAGAGCGGACCAGAATTGTACGCCACGGTTAAGACCTAACTGCACCATCGATTTACACAGTGTAAAACTGTTTTATTCTTTATCTCCAACTGAGTCATTCTTAGCACTTGTCTGACCCGCTGCTGAGCAATGAGCTGATGCTTCCACAGAATTACCTAGATAACTCTAAAATCACTTTCATACCTAGCAATAGCTTCTTCAGAGGCCCCAGCTGCAGGTAAACTGAGAATTAAGTATTATTTTATATTTACATTATTTTAGCAAATGTTGAATTACATCTTCCATTTTATCAGACAATCAGTATCATGAGACTGTTCTGCTACTTTTAACACTTTCCATTGTTGTTATTTTTGAGAACCCGACGTTAAGTGCAAACATTACATTACTATTTACCCCTCTAACTGATCTGTTACATATCTGCTGAGGAGCAGAGTCCTGCTGGACTCCTTTAGCAGCCTCTCTGTGTTGGGAATATTGGTAATTTATTCCTTTACTCTTTGTTATTCTATTTTGCAAATAGCCATGTAACGTTAAGGGGCCTCCACTCTTCCACCAGTGCATCACTGTTTTTTAAAGAAACTTTAATGAGAGACCCTGTCTACATGCTTTTATGTAGACTTCATCAGCCTGGCTTTGTCTGCTCACTGAAGCTTCCAAGAACTCTGACCACGAGGCAAGGACTGCCAATATGTAACTACTCACTGCTTTTACACGGTCATCACCTGCTGAGCCTTAAGCTTCTCGCGCAGGCTTCCTGTTTAGAAGAAAAGAAAACAAAAGCACGTACAGGTTTTATTGTTCTACGCCTTTGACTTATGCATTGCATTTTTTTCCCCCATTTTTCACATTTGTCCATTTCTATTTTCTTAACGTATACACAAAATACTAATGTACTAATGAGGACAAAGGTAAGTTTCTTCCTCATGTGAGATCTCTAACTAGCTCCTCCATTAAAAAATATTTTATATAGTCCAATGAGAGAGCGAACCAATGCTCACACTAAAAAATGAAATTTTTATTTGGATTTGCAGTCTCTGCACCATCTTAGGTATGATTACCACCAGTGACAGATTTTGCTATATATGGTCTTAATTCTCAGTGGACTTCCTTCTTAGCCCTAGAGACTTAGACATTCAGTCCGAGCGGAGTCTAGATTGCCTGTTGCTTATTTAACTTCAATACATAGCATGGCACCAGTTTCCAACAGAACAAATAGTTTGTTATCTCTATGGTCTCGATAGCCTCACTTAAAACCAGATATTCTAGTCCTCAAGTGTTTTTTTAGACTGAGATTTCCACAGAAATACATACACAGTTTTAATGGAACCTCAGTTACACTGCTCTTTGTTATTTTCACCCATTTCTATTCTTTTACTAACGTCTATTTATTATCTATAATCATTTTCCTTCATACACATCTACTTTTACCCAGTTTATGATTTTAAAATGCCTACTTTTTTCATTTTTAAATAAATGTTGTGACAGAAGCCTGGTTTCATTTTCGTTCAGATAAAACCTGCATTTTCTGCACATACTCCTATTACTAATGGGCCTCTTTTTATTTCCTTGACACTATTTGCACAGTCATATGTTGAGACACTGCTTCTCTCCCTCTCTTCTCCTCCTCTGCATAGGTTTGAAAGCTTCCGTGCTCATGATCTTCCAGCCTGACAGCCCAAAACGCAACTCAGTGCTAAAGTAAAATCTTCATTCCAAAGGGAAAGTCTATTTTTTCCGTAGTGGAAGGAAGAAGAAGAAAAAGGGAGTAGTAATTTTGTTTCTGTTCAGTGCTGCCCCATGAAAGAGCCATATGGAAATAACAAAATGAAATTGTCAACGACAGGAAATCTACAAACTATGTCCAAAATAAGCAAGTGGGAAAAAAGAAATAGAAAATTTTTCCATTATATTCATGGTTAAGGGTCTAATTTAAAGATCAGTTTTCTGATCCTGTGCTACAACATGTACAACTCACAGACCCAACCACTTGTGGGCCTGCATTTAGGCTTCCTAACGTCACCCTCCCTGTTACCCTAGGGATCCTACAGCAGGATGAACTATTTCTCCCTTTCTTCTTTCCTGAACCACGTGTTGGTTTTTACATGAAAACCACTGTCCAGGAAGGAGTATGGCAGCTGCAAGACACACTTACCGTGGTTTTCTTCTCCCCTTCCTATTTCCATCCGTGCCATGGAAACAGGAAGGCAATCCTGCCTGTGGGTATCTCTCAACATCACAGGGATTTTTCTTTTATTTTAACCACATGGAAAACAGAACTTTTGTGCCCATTGAAGCAGGTGCCACTGATCGTCTGGAGACGGGGACATCAAGGCAAATGGTATTTCAGCATTTGCCTACATATGTATTAGTTATCCACCCACCAGAGAAATGTCCTCCTGTACAACGATCCTTCCCATGGGTCATATAAAGCAATTTTTTATGCCAAGTTAGCTGTATTCTTCTGAAACTATTTCAAGGACAAACCTTTTTTTGACAAACATACAGAAAACATTAATTTGAGGAGCTGAGGTTGTTTTATTTTAACACCTAATACAATTCAAATTTAAAGGATTACTTGCACAAAAAAATAAACACATTTGGTATAAAAATTTATCATCACTTTAACACCTTTTTTTCCTCTTATGGCCTGCGCCTTCTCTGGAGCAGAAACATATAAAGACTAATGGCACAAGTTTGTCTTATTCTACAGCATTTTTTTTTTGTTTGTTTTTACATACTCAAGTACCCTAGAGGACAACAGCCCGCTGTATACAAGAACCTTTTTCTTCAGCCTGCTGAATTAAGTTTCATAAAGAACCAAAGCTATAAAGGCATTTTAAAAACCATTGTCTCTTTTTTTTTTTTCCAGAAGCGCCGACTTTTTGCACCATTTATATACATAGTGTTACATAACAGCTCTTGAGTACAGTACATGCAGCAGAATATATCTGTTGAATATAAAACATACATTTAAAATCTTGACTTATTGGAATTTTTTGAAGATTGAATAATTGTAGAATGCCCACTGCTTAGAGAAAATGGTTTGATAGTACAAATGTCTGCATATGTTGGCCACTGGAACAATCCAAGGCTCACTGGAATATTATCTGTAGCACATCAATGTGCATAAATAATTTACTTACAATATTAAAACACAACTAGCAAAATCAATAGTTCAAGATCTTATGACTGCTATGTTAACCCTTAGTGGTTGCAAGGAAGTGTGGTGGGGGTTCCTCCCCCTCCCAAGTCCTCTACAAAACCTTTAGTATGTAATTTGTTTTCCAGATGAAGAAACTTATTTATGTCTACTGCCTCTTCTCTTCATTGCAGCCGTACACTGTGGACAGTACCATTTCCCTTTTGGTGCTTCTGTCAGTCCAACACATCCATAGTGGAACCACTCAATAGGGCACTATAAAAACAGAGTTAAAGAGAGGGTTTGGGATTTTGTTTTGTTTTGGTTTTTTTTTTTTTTTTTTTAAATTTGGTTTTTTTTTTTTTTTTTTAAACACCTATCACAAATACAATTCTATGAAAATGAAACATGAGTAAAAAGCATCAATTCTGCTTTTCACACAAAAGTCATGGGACAAAATGAGAAGAGAGGAGGATCTCAGTCCCTAACATACACTCAGTAGACTAAGGAAAGTGGTAAAAATTCTAGGAGTCATATATGGACTCACATAACAGAGCAAAAGCAGTATGCTGTTCTTTGAAATACTTAGTTTGACAACACTAAGGGACACAAAAGTCATCTTATCACTCACTTCTGTTTAAATGTAGCATCTCAGTAAGTACATGATTACATTCAACTGTTCTTTTAAAGCTTTTTTTATTTGAAGAGGACAACTGATATTAGTAGTGACATAGCTAAAAGCTCCCAGAAATAAAGGGCATTTTAAAGATGTCAAACCTTCCCAGTAAAGGGTGAAGCCTTCTAAAAGAACCTGAACTGTGGGGACAGATGAGAAGTTTCCTGAAGAATGGTTCAACTCATATGCACATTACTCTAAAAAAACTCTACTCTTAATACGAACTCTAAAGAAAAGTAACTCCTGCAAAGCAGTAGTTGCATGCGCAAGTGCCTCATGAACCTTTTGAACTTTGTTACTTACATCTTGGTTATCACAGCCTACCATTTCACCATAGGACACCTAGTAAATAAGAAAAAAACCCCTTATTAATAATTATATTGCTAGTTAAAAGCAATCAACATTTTCAAAGGGCTAAAGTTCAAGTTTCTTCCTTTGAGGAGTTTTTCCATTAACAGCAGAAACAATATTTTGATTTTTCTTTTGTTACACAACCCAAAGAACATGTTCACAGCAAACTGATTTCCAAAAATTTTTTAGGCAAAAAAAAGATATTTCTGCAATATTTCCGATTGGATGAAAAAGGTCAGCATTCAAAACCTGAATGAAGCACATTTAACAACAGTGCTCAGTACATTATCAGCCCTGTTTTCAAGATTATATGGATGTCTGGCATTTCCCTTGCATACATGACAATTTCAAGCACTTTATCTGAAACAATCAAATACTTTCAAGAGAATTACAGAATTCTATAAACTCAAGAAAACCCCCAATGCTCTTAAAATTTAAAATAAAACAGGCATTTTAAAATAAAAGTTTCTCACGTTGTCATTCAGTCTCTCAAGTTTCCAGACAGCTTTTACAAAACTAGTTTTTTTGTTTGGTTGTTGGGTTTTTTTGTTTGTGGGGTTTTCTGGGTTTTGTTTTTGTGGGGTTTTTTTGTTGTTTTTTTTGAAGGAAAGTAGGAGAGACCAGGCAAGTCACTGTGAACCTGTTCATTTTTTAATTTAATTGTTCTTGAAGACATTTAAAACTCTCCAGGTATGTCCCATCACTGGAAAACTTGCTTGTTTTTAGCTTCAACAGTTGAGTTCATTATTCATATCACCAGTAAGTAAATAAAAACAGATCAGAATTTCAAGACTGCAAATAGAGTATTTTTAAATTAGCAATCAGAGAAGGAAGTTCTATTACAGCAAAATCGTAGCTCTAGTTATATTTCAGGTTGGAAGCCATCCTTACCTGATTACAAATGCAGTAACGTGGCTCATTTGGATCATACGTCCAGTCAACCTGGCTATTAGAATCAGACTCTGGTATTACTGCTGTTTGCTGAGACAGTTCTTGTGCCAGTGCAGATGAAGAAGAACATGACGACAGAGATGAAGAAGAGGAAGATGATGAGGACTGCTGACTTGAGGATTTGTTGTTGTTTCTTAAAAACAAACAAACAAAAAAGCATATCATAATTTCAATTACTTTCCTGCCAAGTGAAAGGATCACAAAACGAGTACTTTGTTCACTGTGAAATACTGCAGTATGTAAATCCCAAAGCATCATTCCCTAACACATTTCATTCAACAACTGCTCAAACTGAAATGGAAATATTGAATGCTCTTTGGAAAAGGAAGTAAGTCTTACCAGCTTACATGTGCAAGATGGGCTCTTCTAATCAATGGAATTTAACAGCTTTAAACTGCCAAATGACTCGAATTCAATGTTTTTCTTCACAAAATTTTCCATCAACAGCCTTGGTGTAAAGTCCTCATAAAAATTACGTTACCAATAAAAGAGGAATTTACATATAAATAATGTCATAGATCATGTAGAATACATAGGTGTGTTTTGAAGATGACTGATTCTATGTTAATCTCCACTCAAGCATCACCAATCACTCCACAGGAACAGTGCCAGAATACAAATTCTATGCTTTTGCGTATAGGTCAGATCTGACACCCAAGACATCCATAGATGAAAAATGCTTCTAAGACAAAATTATTAACTGAGCTGTGAACAAACACAAATTTGTATGAAGAAAAACAGGCAAGTCAGTTTAAAAGGATGGGCACTCTGAGACAAACTCTTTCAAGTACAACTTGTGATTGCTGTGCCATTGTGTTGTTTAAAATGCTTTCAAATTCCATTTTAATCAGAAATAAAATTCATTCTGTTTCCTGTCCTAGAAGTTCAGCCATCAGAAAATAGTGATTATTTGTGAAGTGGCATGAAGCAGATCTCCAGATTACTTCAGAACCATCTACAAAAGCATAGCAATTCCCAATATTTGCCGTTAGACCAAATCTTCTCTCCAGAACAGAGAAAAATGAGGGAAGAAGCTAGACTATATCACAGATGAAAAAGCAAATCAAGACATTTATTTAAAACCTTGGAGTGAGTTTGCTTAA